AAACGACTAGATTTTCCAACCCACGCAGCTGAACCTGATTATAGCAGATAAGGTGATAGCCAAGTGTTTTCCTGTTCTCATCTACACTTGTAAAAGAGCAGAAATAACATGACTTATGACTTCAATCTCTGGTGGGGCCTCCCCTCTGGCAGAGCTCTGTAAACACTGTAAAACTGGTCTGTCTGTGCTAGATTTCATACAGTCGTTGAATCTGATGCCTTTCTCAGAGTAGGGGTGGGGTGAAGCTGGGCTTTCCTAAGAACATACCGTCTCCTAGCTGTCTAAACATGGGGACAGGATGAGGAGGAGTGATAAGGATTCAGAGCAGGGAGACAGGCTGCTCGGACGGCCTTTGTGAAGTGTTCATTTGGAGTCTGCAAGGCCCTGGCACAGAGCTCAGAGGAAACAGGGCAGGACCAAGCTCCTGGTTCAGCTTTCTAAGCACAGCCTGGATGGCAGGAGGTGGCGAAGTCAGAATCACGAATGCACGTCTTTCTTGATTGTGGAACCATCCTTTCAAAGTAGCTTTATTGGGGGTATGGCTGAGAGACAGCAAACTAAATACTAAAGTACTAAAAGTAAATAATCTGACATTTTTTTCTTATGTATTTGGGAAGGTATCTCTATAGTCAGTAAGTATTCATAACCATTAGTCCTGAAAGTTTACTTAAGCCTCTTGTAATCCATCACCCTTCCGTTGACAACTAAGCCACTTGCTGTCTATGACTATGAATTAATTTGCATTTTCTTTTGTAAGTTTTTGAGATTATAATATAATTACATCATTTCTTCCTTTCCTTTTCTTCCTTCAAGCCCTCCAATACCCCCACCTTGCTCTCCTTCAAATTCATGTCCTCTTTTACTTTAGCTGTAATTCCATACCGTGTGTGTGTGTGTGTGTGTGTGTGTATGTGTATGTGTGTGTATACATATTCCTAAATACAACCTGCTCAGTCTGTCTAATATTTACTTGTATGTTGTGTTTTCAGGGTCATTGTAGTATCATACAGAATAGTTCACTTCCCTGAAAATCCATTATGCTATGCTTAACTTATTTGTTTGTCTGTTTCTTTTTGAGACAGGGCTCTCTCTGTGTAGCCCTGGTTGTCCTGGAACTAGCTCTGTAGACCCAGGCTGGTCTCAAACTCACAGAGATCTGCCTGCTTCAGTTTCCTGAGTGCTGGGATTAAAGGGTGTGCCACAGGCCTGTGCTTAACTTTAAAAAAAACTTCTTAAAGGTTTTGCAAAGTGGCTGTGCTATTTTACATTCCTTTCAACTATGCAAGAGTCCAGCATTCTTTTTTATTTGCTTTCTTTCTTTCTGAGGAACTGGGGATCAGCCCCAAGCCTTTTGCATGTTAAGTAAATGCTCTGCCACTGAGCCGTACTGCCAGCTCTCCTCTATATTATTTAACAACATTAGAGATAACGAGACTTTTTAATGTTAGTTGTATAATGTGATGTTGTTGCAGTCTGAGTATCTTCTTTGGTGAAGTGTTTGAAGTATATGCTAAGAAGGTTGTTTTTTTTTTTTAAATCCTTGACCCATTGTTATACACAAGCCCTTTCTCAGGTATTTGCTGCACAATGACTTTCTCCTAGCTTGTCTGTTGTCTTCATTCTGTCAGCAGTGTAATGGTCTGTCCTGTCTCTTTAAGCGATAAGCCCCGCCCACCCCCTTCCCCATCCACCCTTGAGGCAGGCAGAGCTTCCTTCTACTTCCAGTCCAACCTCTTTCTTTCCATCTCTTGCCCCCCCCACCAGAGGTAGCTGCTGCTGTGGCTCCTCTCCTCTCCCCTCTGGTTCTCTCTCTCTCTCTCTCTCTCCCTGCCCCTCTCTGCTCGGTTCCCTTCTCCCCTTCCCTTCTTTCCCCTCCATAACTTGCTAAATAAATATCCAACCTTACTCTGCATGGCATGCCTCTCCATCTTGGTCTCTCACCTGCCACGCTGCTCCCTGCCTGGGATCCGCTGCTCCTCATGGCCTATGGGCCACTCGGGGACCTGCGGCATTTTTGTTTTTACCATAACAAGCAGTATCTGTTTTTTATCTTTTCTGTTGTTTGTTGGTTTTAGTTTTTTTGAGACAGATTCTTGCTATGTAGCCTAAGCTGGTCAGACTAGAACTTCTGTCTCTTCTATCTCAGCCTCACAGGTGTGAGATGTACTGCCATGCATGGCTAGTTTTAAATTTTGATGACATGCTTTATAATATTTGTGTGTGTGTGTGTGTGTGTGTGTGTGTGTGTGTGTGTGTGTGTAGGTGTGTGTGGGTATGGGAGTGTGTTTAGGAGATAAGGCATGGGTGTGCCACAGTGCCTTTGTGGAGGGCAGAGGACAACATTCTTTCCACCATGTGAGTTCTTGGGGGCATAAGCCCAGGTCAGCAGGAGCTACTTTACCAGCTAAGCCATCCTGTCCTTCCTCCACCCTTTCTGGATGGTGGTAAGGGATTGGATCCAGGCTAGGCAAGCCCTGTACTCTGAGAAATGCCCCATCCCTACACTAAGCACTGTTTTGATTCCTTTAGCTTTTTAATAAATCTGAAAGTCAGGCAGTGGTGCTCTTCAAGGTTGTGTGACTACTCTGTAAATTCCTTGCTTTATCATATAAATGTTAAAACTAGATTGACGATTTCCATACAGAAACCCTAGGTGTGGTGGCACAGGCCTCTAATCCCAGCACTTGGGAGGCCCATGGGAGAATTGCCAATTCTAGTGTGAAGTCATGGAGGCCTTGTTTTAAAACAAAAAGAGCAAACCAACCAACTGAGAAAGCCTTCTCTGAGACTTAGGGCGTCCAGCCGTGGCCAGCTGACCTTGATGTTTTGAACAATGAAGTACATCATGATACAAGTGCATGATGGGACAGAACCACTCACTCCTTGGCCTGAAATAAAAAGAGGATGATGAAGGGGCCAGGGGCTCCCAGTCCCCTTCAAGGGCATTCTCAATCGCCCAAAGTCTCTCACCAGGCCTTCCCTCATCCCAACAGCAGCATGCTGGGAACCAGTCCTCTAAGACTTGACGAGGCCTTTAGCAGAGTTCTCGTTCTCCCTCTCCCTCCCTCTTAAAGTATTTTATGAATCCATTTATGTCACTTATTGGGTTGTTAGCTGTAATGTCTTGTTATTTTAGTGGTTATTTCAAGTCCTGCAGTCTCAAGTCTGGCTCATCACAGCCTGCCTTTATAGGCCCCAGCCATGACAAGCTCAATAGAGACCAGAGTCTCAGTAGTTTACACTAAGGCAATACCTGGTTCCAAGAGAGACCACAAACTGAGACCACCCAGGCACCACCCAGGAACAGACCGTCCAAAGGAAATTCCTAACGTTCCAACCATTGTAGACAGGATCACCTGCCAGCACACACCCATTGCTTTTCACCAGGACACCCTTAGGCAATGTCAGTCACTCAGGGGTCCTGAACCTTAGAAATTCCTCACTCCTACCTTTGCTATTATAAAAACCCAACCCCAACTGACTTGGGGCTGTCTGACCACGCCAACACGTTGGACACATGGAGAGCCTGAGTTCACTACCTTATGTAAGAATAAAGGCTCTTTACTGTGTTTTACAGACGGTTTCAAAGTCAGTCACCTAGTTGCCTTTTGGGGGACTACATGGTCTGGGCATAACACTGTCAGATGATATTACACTTTGTATATCGTAACCTCAGAGGGATGCATCCTCATTTCCCCTTAAGTTTGTTGCAGTTGCAGTCACATAGTTACTTACATATTTGTTGTAACTCTATATTGTCATTTTTCTACACGGAAAGATAACTTTTCCATATACATTTTGAAATAAGATTGTTTATGTCTACAAAAAGCCTTGCTGGATTTGTTTGTTTGTTTTGTTTTGTTTTTCAAGACAGAGTTTCTCTGTAGCTCTGGAGCCTGTCTTAGAACTAGCTCTTATCATCCAGGCTGGCCTCAAACTCAGAGATCCACTTGCCTCTGTCTCCCGAGTACTGGGATTAAAGGTGTGAGCCACAACTGCCTTGTCTTTTAGAGAAGGGTAGGTTTGAGATCGAGTTCCCCTCTATATAGCTCAGGCTGGCCTCAACTTGTAATTCTCCGGTCTAGGTCTCTGAATGCTAGAGTTTGCATGCCTACGCTGTCATGCTGGAGGAGTTTGCGACCTCCACTGCCTTGCTGGGCTCCACTCTCTGCTGTAAAGCTCTTTCTATTTCTTCCCTGTATCTTCTGCTCTCAAAATGATTAATTATTCTTTCAGTGTTTCTCCTTTGTTCTCAGCTATTTCCCTTTCCCCATCCTAGGTAGATCCCCATTCTTCTTTCTTTCTCCTTTATTCTTTTAAAACTTTCATTATGGAAAAGTTGAGGCATGCGCCAAGCCAACTGGTACGATGAACTCCTCTGTACCTTCCAGCAATTAGGAACTTGTGAAACTGCAGTTTTCTAATGCTTCTACAGAGGAATTGTGTAGAGGGGAACACACAACCCTTTCCATCTTGGGTAGCTGAGGATTGTTGTCCCTTTGAGGCCATTTATTATCTATGTTAAGATGCATTCAGTATGAAAATTTAAGAGTCTCCAGGGATTTCAGTAGTCACCACAAGCTTTCAAATTCTCTCTTCATGTTTTATGTATAATCTTTAAATGTAGCCTTTAGCTTTCACTCTGCATGTTGAGTCTCTGGTTGATCTGAGCATACTGCAATAATTGAGCTTTATACTTTCTCAGTGCAGTTCCTATAGTACACACACAGAAATTTATCTGTCATCTGTCTACTTACCTATCATCTATCACCTAACTACCTACCTGTCATGTCTATCTACCTATCGTCTATTTTCTATATCATCTATCTATTATCTACCAATCATCTATCATCTATCCATCCATCTGTCTGTCTGTTTGTCTATCTATCTATCCTCTATCACACTTTCTTTCTCTTTTTTGGATTTTTGGGACAGGTTTTCTCTGTATAACATCTCTGGCTGTCCTGGAACTCGCTCTGTAGACCAGGCTGGCCTCAAACTCACTGAGATCCTCTTGCTTCTGCCTCCCCAGTGCTGGAATTAAAGGTGTGCGCCTCCACCGTTCAGCCTATCACTCATAGCTCAACTATGCTTAATGACTGAAAGCAAAGTAGCCTAAGTCAGTGAGCGGCCGCTGACAGATCATAGCTCCGCCACCTACTAGCTGATCTTGTTGCTCAAACTCAGATCCAGTGTCACCATCTGGAAACTGAGCAACACCCACTTCCAGATGGTTGTTAGGATTAGAGACAAGCAGGTGAGGTGCTTGATAGAGCTCAGTGTGACGTAGTAACTCAGTAAGTGACAGCCGGAGGAGTCTAGGGATGAAGAGCTGCTGTGATGTGGACAGCAAAGTGCCACCCCCAATGGGCTGATTACACATGCACCAGGGAGACTGAAGAAGCCACTTAAAGAGTCCGTGACAGATTCAAAGCCAAGCTCATAAATGCTACTTCCTGGATGTTGAGGCGCCTGTAAACATACCCTAATCTAATTTCTGCTTATATCTTTATGATTCAATTCTATTTTGTAACAGAAGCAGACATTCCCAGCAACTCATTTCTAGGAGATTGGCAAAATTTATGGCCCAGGCATTGAGTCTCAGTCTCTGTGCCTGGGTCCAAGAGCTTACACCAGGACGAGCATTTCAGATCAGTGCATCCCTGTCTGGCTGTGCTGTGGAGTTTCTCTGTAGACAGGTATGTTTTCAGGGTCATAGCATCTTATGGACAGTCTGGAAACTGAGTAGATGACTCAGGGTCTATACAGAAAAAGGAACAACAGGAGTTTCTTTCTGTGTGAGTCTCTGTCCCGTTTTCTCTCTCTGTCCACCCCACCCCATAGATATCTATATAGCCTAGGACTTGCTTTTCTTTGTTGTGTTCTATCATATTTTACTGACTCATAAAAAAATCATTTGGGAAGTGAAGGCAGGAAGATCAGGAGTTCAAGGTCATCCTTACCTATGAGACCCCTCCCCCTCCCCACACGGCAGAAATGATGGCTCAGTGGATATAGTTCTTGCTGCATAAGCTTGAGGACCTAAGTCCAGATCCCTAAAATCCTGTGTCTGTGATCCCAGCACTCCTGTGGTGAGGTGCGAGGCAGAGACAGAAAACTTGTGGAAACTCTTGGCCCAGGTAGCCTTGGTGCACATATCTTTAAACAACGAAAGACCCAGTCCCCCCAAAAAAGGTTAAAGGTGAAGACCAACACCTGAGATTGGTGTGGCAGTTTGAATGTAATTGGTCCCCATACTCTTATAGGGAGTGGCACTATAAGGAGGTGTAGCTTTGTTGGTGTAAGTATGGCTTTGTTGGAGGAAGTGTGTCACCTTGGGGGTGGATTTTGAGGTTTCCTATGCTCAGGATATCATCCAGTGTCTTAGTCGACTTCCTGTTGCCTGCAAGATGTAGGATTCTCAGCTGCTACTCCTGCCTCATGTCTGCCTCATGTCTGCCTACATGCCATCAAGTCATGATAATAATAATAATAATAATAAGTCATGATAATAATGGACTGAACCTCTGAAACTGTCAGTTGCCACTTCAACTAAATGTTTTCCTTTATAAGAGTTGCTGTGGTCATGGCTTCTCTTCACAGCAATAGAAACCCTAACTAAGACAGTTTTTCTCTGAATTCTACACATACACTGTGGCACAGAGGCATCCAGAGTTGCACACACAAAAAATGCACACATGTGCACATGCACACACAGATTTAAAATAAGTAGAAAACCTACTAAAAATTTTAGTTTATCAACTCTAGATTATCTGAAAGCCATGGTTTTGCCTGAAAGGTGACAACAATATCAGGTAAAAATAATGAAGCTGGGGCTGGGAGCCTGGGTTCAGATCAGATCCCCATTACCTACAGAAAAGCCATGTCCAGTAGAATGCTCCTATAACCCCAGTGCTGGGAGCAGGTGGGTGGAGACAGGCAATCCTTTGGGCATGTTGGCCATCCAGTCCAGGTGACACAGTCAGCTTCAAGTTCAGTGGAATATCTGTCTAAAAAATGAGGTGGAGAACAACTGAGAAAGATACTTGCTATCGACTTTTGTTTTCACACACACACCTAGAGAGTACACAATGCATGCGGCAGTGCACACACACACTTGTATAAAGTTGTACAGAGAAGGCTCCCCTTCTGCTCAATATGAACACGGTTGGGGGAGAAGAGGACCATTTCATTTGGAGGGCCTCTAGACAGATGTCCCTGTGACTGTGACCTGCTGATATGAGAGCCCTTCATACTCTGAACTCGATTTGACACTGTTTTATTAGGACCACCATACAAGTGCATTTAAATAATGATGAGTTACCCAGAGGCTGCTGGGTACATTTTCTCCTCAGAAGAAGCGTGAAGGCGACTCCCTCTAAGTCCCGTTCCTTCACTCAGCTCAGTGTCTGTAGCTACAGCACTCTCGCACCCCCACCGCTGTCAGTGGTCTGTCCCTTCCTCATTTCTGGTCCTCAGTAAATAATTATTTTGATGCGGTATGTATGAATAGGTATTAACTGGTAGTCTCCTGTATGGTCTAACTTTTTTGGCTGCTTCACCAATTATTACAGAAGCATGAGTCAGAATTACTGGCTTTCCTTATGTTTACAATCTAGTGGCCACATGGCACTTTGTGTAAATGTTTGATTATTATTTTCTCAAGTATTTTGACTGTCCCTTTATGTTCTTTTCTTTGGACACATGGCACAAGACTGACTCTTTTGACAAGGGTCTGGAAAGATGACTCAGCAGTTAAGAGCCCCTGGGCTCGGTTCCCAGCATTTACATGGCAGCTCACAACCACCAACCACCTGTAACTTCCGCTCTAGGGGGTCTGATGCCCTTTTCTGCATTCTGAGGCTACCTGCACTCATGTGCACATATCTACACAGAGGCACAGATATGCATGCACATACATAATTATAATTAATTTTTTAGGCAAGGTCTCACTATGTAGCCTCAAACTCACTGTATAGATCAAGCTGGCCTCGAACTCAGAGAAATTCTGCCTGTGCTTCTTGTATGTTGAGATGTAAGAAGTGTTCCCCCAGGCCCATCAATAAAAATTTATTGATGAGGTTGAATAGGTTCCTGAAACATTGTCAATTTTTAAAAAATTGTTATCTAACATTGTTCATTTTATTAATTTTAGGAAGGATTTGTTATTTTTATTTTACGTGTGTGTTTGCTTGCAGATGGGTGGTACCATGAGCACAAAGTGCCCTCAGAGACCAGAACAACAAGTGTTCTCCACCATGGAGCCGTCTTTGTAGCCCCAACATTGATAATTTTTTAAAAAATTTTTCTTTATTCTATGCATCATATATCTTGGTCCCATTCATTTCCTTGTCCTGTTGAATTATTTTGGGTTGAGAAATACCAGGAGAGAGAGAGAGAGAGAGAGAGAGAGAGAGAGAGAGAGAGAGAGAG